TACAATAATGAGGAAAAATTTTCATTGCACATACCCTAAAAAATAATTGAATTAATGTAACGGAAACATAATTAAACATTATTCTAATGTATTCAAAATATATGACATTCAAAATAGTGGGCATCATGTATGACATACCTGTGGAATTTCTTCTCCTCTCATGCAGTTGTATATATTGAAGCAAGTAGGTGTTGATGGAGTTGGTGTGTGGTGTTTCAATTACATCGGTTACTACAAAGCAAGTTCCAAATGATAATTACAAGTAGGTGTGGTCCATTAAATTCAGGCTGGGATTTGGTGGGAAGCTTTTATTGATATGCAATAAATTATAATCAAGGTAGTATGACTTGTCATCAGATTTGTAAACTATTTACCACAATTGAGTTCAAATGCACTCATAACAATTGTAAATCCTATGAGTGTGACTAATTACAATTTATATATAATTTTTTTTTCGGTGGCATGCACAAAAAAAAAAGAAAAAAAAAATTCTTGATATGTTAATAGTAATTATTAATTTATTGTTGTATTAATTTATTAAGTGGGAAGGTGAGTATTAAATGGGTTGACAAGACTCACCTGCAAAATTGACCACTTATTAAACGTGTTTGACGGGTTAACCTGTTTAGTACCCAAACTCATTAGGATCTCATATGAAAATACTCTACAAATTTCTTGTCGATTTTTATAGTATAATCATGTCGTACATGTGTTGTACATTCTAGTACGTCCGTTAACAAATTAGTTTTAATATATATACCCATCAGATTAGTTCGCACTTAATTTTGTTATGGTTCCAATTTTGTTTCATTTTTTAATCAAATGGTCTGATTAATTTAGTGGCAATTCTTTTTTTTTTTTTGATGAATTAAATTACATTTTATGTTAGTTGGAATATAGCAATATTTTATATAAAATTTTTAAAATCAATAATAAATTAAATTGTTTTGTGTAAATTTATCACCCTATTTATGAAATTTAAAAAAACAAAACACCCTAAATAATCTCATATTCAAAATTCAAATAAAATATAAAACACCAGTCATTTCCCCAATTCCCCGAATCGTTAACCTCCCTCCCCCCCCCCCCCCCCAAAAAAAAGTGAGTGAAGAATCTCTCTCTCTATCTCTAAGATAGAATCAAAATTGGAGAACCCATTCATCTTCTCTCTCTCTCTCTCTCTCTCTCTCTGATCTTTATTCACATCTCACCCTTTCTCTCCGATCTCACCCCAATCAGCCACGAGCGACGACTACGACGCCACCATCCAGTCCCCAATAGGACACCATCGGAGCCATAAACAAGGTAATTTTTTTCTCCTTCTCTCTTTGTTTCTCTTACTCTTACCCCATCAATGTGTTTTCGTCTGCCTCTCTGCCTCTATCAGCTTCTTAGCCCCACTCCATCAACTCCACCCCTACTTTATGCTACCACCCCAGATCCCTACCACATAGGCCCCATAGAGACCGAACGTAATTTTCCCGTACTCTTAATCTCTCACATAATACCATTATCTATGTGGACCTACAAATTGTTCGATCCAATGTTGCAATGGTTCACCTTCACATGGATTGCTTTGTTGTACACCCAGATTGCATTAATTTTTGAATTATTTTTCAGGCGGTGTCGGATTTAGTCTGCCACTCTATCGCTAATTTAATGGGTTTGCATTTTCATTGGCTTTTCGCATGAAGCTGTTTGCTAAAATGCCTATGTTTGCATATTTTTTAATTTCATTCATTGATTGCAATTGTTCATTTATTTAATCGTTAGTTTGTTTTGTGGACTATCTTGGGTGAGTTTTGGGTTTTTCTAAGTGCTAAATAGATGAGTTTTATGGAGAATTTAATTATTGGTTTGAGCATTTGAGCCTTACCTTCAACTCTGAATATCATGTTTTATATTATAGATTTAATTATTGGTTTGACCATTTGAGCTTTAACTTCAACTCTGCATAGCATTTGAGCATTTGAGCTTTATCTTCAACTCATCATTTTGTGGACTAATTTTTATCAATCTAATTTGTCTTTGTTTTGTTTCAATGGTTTTCAAAAAAGAAATCCTAATTTTTACAAATCCAATTTATCCATCCAATTCTAATTTTTTAGTACATATGCTTTCCGTAAAGAAATTTGGTTCACATGTTATTTTTTGCTTTGCTCCTATTTTATTTTTTTCCATATTTTATAAGTTCCTTTTTTTATTGTTGTCAAGGTCATGTGCACCAGTTACAATTGATGTAATTTGTGGATTACAATTATAGGAAACAGTCACCCACCATTAGTTACATTTTGTAAGTCCACTGAATTACTGGTTTTGGAGTTTGATTTCATTAATGTAATAATGTTGGGTTTTAAATTTTGAAAATTGTATGGTAAGCATTTTGATGGTAGTATGGTGCTAAAAAGAAGATTCACATAAAAAATAGTAGAAGATTTTTTGTAGTTACTTCCACAATCTTATTTTTTTTAGTTTCTTTGGGTTTTTCTTCGATCTCTTGGATGATTGTGGTGAGGACATTGAAAAAAGAGATCTGTAAATATCTCTATTTGTCACATAGGTGATTGAAACTATGACCATATTCACGCACACATGTTTGAGATATGGTAAGGAGTTAAGTTTGTAGTCATTGATTATCCCATGAATGTTTCTTGTAAGTAGTTTTCGTTATGAATACTCTAACCGTTTGGAGTATGATCTTAAATGTTTGAATTGTATTGTATGCTTAATTTATGAACAAAGTTCTTTGCCTAAATTTTTGTTGTGATCACTATGAATGAACAAAAGTTTTAGTTGCTTCATGTTACATGGGTGCATTAAGTAGAGTTGAAAACTTTCTTGATTGTTAGGATTCTTATTTGTTTTCATTTTTTTTTCTTGGAGAATCAAAAATTTTAATTAGGTGTCATTTTTAAGGCATACATTGAACTTTTTAATTGATACGTTGAATGTAATTGATAATCCTACTTTGTCATTAATTCAATTGTATGTTGTTATGGAATTCATTTATGTTGTGGCAACAATTGATAAATGATTTGGTTTTAGTGGTGAGTTCTATTTATGTTGTGAGTCTTATTTGGTGCTTTGGAATTGTGTATAAAGGTTTAAAATTTTTTGGGGTACTAATTTTAGAGGAAATTATGTCCAAAATTTTTTTGGGATACTATCTAAACATTGCCGCCCATTCAACTATCGAGGTTGGCTACTATTGTGTTTCTTAAAGTTCATTTGCCCGTAATTCATGATTATTGCATTGAGTGGATGTTCACTTTTTAGGCATTGGGTGGATGTTCATTGGTACACTATCCTTTAGATGTTGATTGTACCCCTATCGTGAATAGGAATCTTCTTATATTAGGTCTCATTTACCACTTTCTGCGATGGCCTGTGATAGTTTGCTTGTTGTGTACATGACAATTATAATCAAATCTAATCCAATAAATGGTGGTTTGTAGGTACCGGTGATTCATCTTAGAAGACCTTTTGTGGATATGTGTATTTACATCTTAAGCAAACAAAATGTAAAGAAATTTGATTGGTCTTATATAATTTTATATGTTAGATATTTACAGTTTGTATTAAATGACAACAAATTGCACTAGGGTAAAGAGGAAAAAATTGGTTGCTACAGCCTTGGCAGGAAAACGATGGGGACAAAAATAGGCCGATACTATAGGCGAGACATCTGGACAAGTATGTTAAACATTCTTACATTAAGTTATGTTGATCATTAAGCATACAAATAATCAGTGTGTTCAACTGGACATGTACCATTATGTATCAATAGTTCCATTACTTTACGTGTACAACATTCGGTGGTGACAAGATGTTCACTAAAAAGACTAAGAAAATTTGTTGCAAATTTAAATGCTGCACAAAAATAAGCCATCATCGAAATTGGATTGGGGGAATTGCTCAGCATACAATGTAAAGATATTAGGCATGATTTGTGTACATGGTTGGCAGAATAATTTGATCCCTAGAAGTGTGAGTTCAACTTATATGGAAAATGGGCGAAGTTCAGCCCCCAAGATGCCACCTACATACTAGGTTTGTAATTCGCAGGGACAAATGTGGTGATAATGGGTACAAAGGACAACATTAACGATCTTTATACGTCTATATTTAACAGACAATTAGAGGTATCTTTGAAACATTTTTCAAAGCACCTTAGTTCAATCACAGATGCCTCTGATGAATTTATACAATTGTCTGTTTTATATAATATTGGTTGTATGCTTCATCCAACAATACGGACTATGCTAAGTGTTGCTGCATTGTATTTTGTTATTGTCGTGCCTTCTTTAAGACATACTAATTGGTGCAATTTTGCATTTGATGAAATCATTGAAGGCATTCAAAAATTTCAATGTTCCGGATGAGGATCATTGAGTGGCTATCTGGTAGTTTTGATGGTAATTTACTTTTAAAAACCATGTTTGTTAATGTATATGTGGTATACAATGGGTAAATAGTGTCTTGTGGTCTTCAGTTTATTTGGTATGTAGGTTTTATATCTTGAATGAGTTACACCAAGAGGAGACACGATCATTCCCTTGGTTTTTCGGGAGGTCCCCATGAATTAGACAGTGGGGTGACAGTGATATCAATAAACAAATGAGTGTTATCTTAGGGTTAGGAGGCTTCAATCTCGATGAGGTTTACATATTGTTATTTTTTTTGTCAAATGCTTTGTTTTATGGTTATGTCTTACATATTATTTGATGCTCATAATTTTTACATTGGTTTTATGTTTGCAGTTGGATGTATTTGTTGAGGAGGAGCTAATTGATGATGCACTTGGTACCACAACCTAGCAAGCAGTGTCTGACGTATGTAAATATACCATGCATAATGTATATATTTCCCAAATCGTTATATAGAAGATCATGGCGAATACTGCTTTTAGTATGCTTGGTCATATATATATATATATTTTAATTTTTTTTGTCAAATAATTAATCTTACTGTCAATTATTACGTATATTGGTTCATAGGATATGTGTGTCAGAATTGGAAGACTTGAGGTTGTTGCCGAAAGCATGGAAAAAAAGTTTGATACTTTTGTATCATACTGCACAACATCTATGTCTATGATTGAGAAAAGACAGGGTGAGATTGGACATATTATGTCCCAATTTGTTGATAAATCGGCGATAGCGAAGGAGGTGCCACATGACATGGGGGCAATAACAAGAAAGATGAAATTAATCTCACGGATGTGTGTATATTATCCGTTTCAGTGGTGAAACATTATGTGTTGTTAAATGTATTACCACATCTCTTCCTGATGACTTCTTGACGTGAACTTACAAAAGAGAAATTTATATTGTAGGTTGAATTGGATGATCCACAAGCCGCAGAGGGACACCACCCAGTTGAAGTATGATTTATTGTGTTTTGTATTAAAAATTCAACATGCTTTTGCAAGTGAGTGGCACTTTGAACCCCTTATAAGATAAATTGTGTTGTAGATGGCAGATGTGGTGTTCCTACGATTAACCCATATCAATGCTGATATGGAGCACGCATTCTACTGTTACATATTTGACAAAAACTTTCCATCTGAGTATGTGCTAGTGTACCTTATATTTGACGCTATATCTTATACTTAACAACTGCTAGTTGTATCATTTTCCAATGCAAAAGTACAAAAAAATAATATGTTTTGTTTACGTATAGTGAGCTTATGGTATCAGTAGGTGACCATGATCGAGGCACAAGGGGAGTGTTATAGTCCTTTGCCCCGAACCAATGGCTGAGTGGAAATGTTCGTGAATGTTAATTTTATTGATTTTATTGTTGTGACATTATGAGAATGAAACTAAAATATTGTGTTAAAAATTTATTAGGTAATTGATACGTATGCATGCATCGCTCCACAAATGGGATGATGGTACTTACCTACCGTCATCTCTATAAGTACATGTTTTCATTTCTGATAATTTTTAGTTGTATTATGCAATAAATTGTTTGGGTCATGTGATAATCAAATTAATGCGTGTCTGTTCAGGAATTTATGCAAAAACAAGCCCTATCAAGCACCATCACCCGCATTCAGGGTGCAAGGGTAACTCAAAAAAAAAAAAAAACAAAAGTTTAGTCGCCTCTCACTCCCTAATTTTACAACAACAACAAAGGTAGCCTATATTGAAAAATTCTTTTTCTAATTGTTTTTAAGTTAATCCTTGCTGTATATTAGATACCTATATTGGATTTTATGAATAATTTTTTGTTTGTTTGTAGATTTATGTCCTAATGAATGATGAAGAATTACATTGGTATCTACTATTGGTGGATATAAAGGAGAAACAAACATTCCTACTCGATCCTCTACCAACTCCAAAAAGAAACATTATTCGACGCACAAATGCGACTAGAGTTGTGAGATACTTATTGTTTTCATTTAGCAAAGGATACTTGTCAACAATTTTTCTTAATTTTCAATTACATTCCAAACTTGTTTTGTAGATTGAGGTTTTGGACAACATTCTTGCAACTAGGGCTCCCGATTTTAAACACAAATTGAGCAAGTGGAAGCTTGTTAAACAAGACTGGATGCCCAAATAAGCCAATGGTTTTTATTGCGAAATTTTCGTTGTGAAGATGATGCAATCATCACATTTGGGGCAAGGTTTTACACTAAAGGTGAATAACAATAAACAGTCCTTGCCGACACTGCTGAATAGCTTTAATAATACTACAATTAAAAAAGTGTAATTTGTAATTGTAGGCCTTTGTTAAATGCAGAAGAAGAGTGAAGACATTCGAAGAGAGGTGGCTATTAACTTGGTGATCGCTGGGGAGAACAATTTGAGAGATAAAAGCATACATATGTCACAAGTTTTGTCTTGAAGTGTATATTGGTTCATTGGGGATTTGAGGAAGAGTCCTGAATCTGATAGTGGTGGAGCAACTGTCACGAATTCAAAGGATAAGGTGGTGTTGTCTGCATCATTTTTCTATGGGGATTGTTCAAGTACGGTTGCTGTGTTTAGGGACCTGTGTGATGCGTTGCATATGCTTGTGGATTATGGACTCTCTTGTTATAGTTTCATCCTTAGAATTGATTAATTTGTTCTCATTAATTATGTGTTGGGCTTATGTGATTGTTCTTGTGATTGCCTGGGTTATTTAAGACGAATTCGATCATTGCTTTGTAGTTTGGAGTTTTAGTGGCAATTTCAATGATTCGAGAAGCTATTTCTGTGTCAGATAGATTAGCTGTGTCAAAATATTTAAGTATGCATCGTTGTTAATCAAATTTTACTTTTTTTTTTGAATTGTCATATGCAAACATGCCCACTTCATTGATAGAAGATTTAATGTTGCCTCCGTCCAAAGTGACATTAAGTTGTGGCCTTTTAAGGTCATTTCTGGTCCGGCTAACAAGCCAAGGACTGTAGTCAACTACAAGGGTGAAGATAAGCCATTTGTTGCTGAGGAAATCTCGATTGTGGTGCTTATCAACATGAAGGAGAATGCTGCTGAGGCTTTCCATAATGTTGTTCTTGTTGGTGGATCAACCAGAATTCCCAAGGGGCAGCAGCTATTGTAAGACATATTTAATGGGAAGGAGCTATGCATGATCTATTGCCAATGATAATAAAGAAGAGGGTGGTTGTGTATGATGGGTTGACATAGCGGATTAAGGGTGAATGCCTGCGTTGATGTTGAGTTATGTTGTTATTTGTGATGGTATATACTCTATGAGTAGCGTTGATTTGTTTGAAATATGTAGGTAAGGAAAGATGTTTAGGTTTTGTATGGAAGCATGGAAGTGCATTGGATAGTTTGTTTTGCTTTAACTTTTTTAAGTATTTGGTTATGTTATGGATATTGGTTTGTCTTTCTCCGTTCCTTCTTGTAATGCTGATTTGTTCATAAATAAAATATTTACCATTTTGTTAGTTGCCTATGGTGCTGTTGTATCTGGTTTATTGGGTGATCAATTGGTAAGGGATATACTGGATTGTAATTTTTCATTGATTGGATAGAATGATAGATGAATTTGGAAGGACTCAGATGGAGTAATGGTGTTTGCTTCCTCACTTTTTTATGGAGAGGGTACTAACATGATAGCTGTGGTGCCCCTAAATTCGGGTCCTTTTTCAAACATTGACCATCCGTCAACCCGTCGAAGTACGCATAATTGTCGCACAATCCATCATTACGTCAATAGCATTCCCTTAACCGGGATCATAATTCACGCGTGCAACTAGTGTATATTTTACCATTTGACCTACCACAGTCCAATATACCACTATTTATCCTCATTTGATGTCCATTTGTATCCTTAGAACCAAAGAACCCATGGTCCAAAAGCATGGCAAGACAATATTAATTTTTCAGATTTTAGGAGAACCTATTAGTAGGTTTTGCTTGATAAACATAGTTCCGCCTGTACGCGATCCTATCGGTAGGTGTTGCCCACTGGACAACGATCTACCGGTAGGTCCTACTGGTAGGTCTTGTCCAAATTTGCTTGTTTCACTTGTTTTTCATTTCCAATTCATTTCAAAACATATTATTTTCATCCAACACATTTATATTAAAGATTTTAATATTACACAAGGTCCATACCAACTCTATTACATTCAATTCCATGAATTTACATATCAAAAACAAAGTTTTCATAATCATTTACAAAAAACTCAAGATAAATCCACATCCCAGCTTTCTTCATCCTTGATGTACCATGCGAGAGCCTTCCTCCGGCATGTATCCCACACCTAAAATATTTTACCGTATAGGATGAACCACGTCCAGTAGAGTATTTCCTACAGAGGCTACTCCCCAACCTAAGTGCATATGAAATGTTCATACAACATTTAAAGAGCAACAACCATTCCAATCAAGATCAAGCTAGTCTATGTTGGAATCTAACAAGTCATGTCATGATATGAGATGACACTCACTCATGTAACTCAATCCGAGCCCTCCCTGGCTTTTTTCACCCATGCAATGCTATGAGTATAAAATCGGGCTCTCCATGCCCCCGCCATTGGTGTTACACACCTAATGACTATTTAAAACAAATCTCCAGGTCTTTCTTGAGGTGGGTATTTATAGACTTACACCAACGGGACCCAACCAACACGGAATTTATGCACTTCTACCAATGATTTTGCGTACACCGACACACTTTATGGGCTCTTAAACAAATGGAATGCGTATCTGATCACTGGGTCTCTCATCCGAGGGATAGTCTAGCCCTCCTTACTAACCCCAACCCAATTCTTTTTCCCATGCAACCGTGTAACTCAGTCGGATCTTCAATCCAACTTTCCCGAGCCCACCCATCATCCACCTACGTGGTGTATGATGTCAACCATGCACACTCACACCCACACTCATGTCCATGGATGCGGTTTCTTTGTGCAAATACAATGTAGTGCACTATTGCTATGTTAATGTCATGCCCATATGTAATGAGTACCACATGAGCGAGTTTAACCATATATCTTCGTATTATATGGCCAATTATATCATATACATATAATCACCAAACTTTATCACAAAGCTAATATATCAATAAACATATATTAACATTTTATTTCTAACAACATATCCCAAGCATGTTATCACATAATATATGTCAATGACACACTTCATTCCCAATGCATAATATAAATACATAACATGCCCACATAATACCAAATTCCATGAAATTATACAAGTAATTTCCACATTTTAATTCCAAGCTAGGAAATTTATTTCAAGCCATTTCAATACCCATTTTCACAAACATAGGTAAGTGTTAAGTTTCTAACAACCTACCCATCTCATATAAACATCCTAGGTTACAAAATAAACCTAAGTAGGAGGGAACCCTACTGTAACACCCCGCATTTTCTTTTATATATGTATATAGATATATAGTAAATAACTGTTGTAAAAATGGGGATATGTGTAGTGATGTGTGTTTGAATTTGGTAGAATGAAAAAGGGATGAACAGTGCACTGGCTGTAACATCAAGCTCGATTTCGACCTTGATGCAGTCCATATCTCTCAAAACTTAAAACATGATATTTGTAGAGCTCTCTCTTAGGATTCCATATCATCTTGAATCATCTCAATCGGAACTAGGAGGAAGGAGTTATGTCCATATTACGAAGTAGTGTCTACACTGTCCAAAAATCTGTCCGGCAGACTACCTTTCGCTAATTTCATCATAACTCTTTATTGGAAAGTCCGAATTGTGTACCGTTATTTTTTTTAGAACCCTAACTCGTATATCTTTCCAACCATATATGTTACACCTCCTAGAAATACCTGAGTCAAATCAGTTTATTCTATGAAGTTGACCAAAAATCTGCACAATGGTGCTCCTTGGATAGTAAAGGGTTGTGCTTTCTTATTAGACCTTGAAGGTGTAAAACCCCATATGTTTACATTAATATATTAATGTACTTGTTTAGTGATTCTTCTATATGTAATGACTTAAGAATAAACCATATATATATTAAAATCGTAAGGATATCACCTATAGTAGTTCGAAGGAATAAAATAGAAATTTTAATGTTCCAAGTGTGAATTTATTTTAGTTTTGAAATAAATCATAAAAAGCAATGTTTTTAGGTTAAAATAACATTAAAAATGAATCCGGAACGTCGAAAAACCTTAGGGTAGTCGTATGGATCAAATTGGAGATTTCTAGTGGCAAAACTATAATTTTGAAAAAAACTCAAAATTTAGCCATGAACAGTGAATTTCGTGGACTACTGTGTTTAAAACACAGAATCCAGTCAATTTCTTCCATTTTTTCTCACATCTCTCACCCCCAAACCCCTTAGCACCCTTGGGGAAGATAGAGGAAAGGAGGTCATTAGAGCTTGGGTTTTTGGTTTGAAACTTTGATTCAAGGTAGGGGTTTTTCTTCCATGCTTGTCCATTGAGGCTAAGGCTAAAATATATATATGTTTTGACTCATACTTGTATGTATTTGCTAGGAATTCCTTGTTTCTTGGTTTTCTTGCAATTATGGCATGTCTTAAACAAAGTTAGGATTGATTACCCATGAAACTTCTTTTATAGCTTTAAAACCCTAGTTTTTTGGGGAAATATGAAATTCTCTTTCTACATTTGCTCAAGCTTGGTTTTTGAGAACTTTAGTGCTTTGTGTGAGTAATGAAAATGATGTGGTGGTGATCTCTTGTATTTTTCTTAATTGGTTATTTGGATTGTCGCATGATAAAATTTGGGGATTTTGATAATGGTTGCTTGTTGAGGAAAATTTGTGGATTTTATCTTGTATGTGATTGTTGGTATGAAAAGAGGATAATTATGAACCGAGGTTACTCGTAAGTATGCGGTTAAGTGTGGAATACTTGAAGGGGGGTAGAGGTTACTTGTAAGTATGCTACCTACCAAAAAAGGATACTTATGAACCGAGGTTACTTGTAAGTATGCGGTTATGTGTGGGAGACTTCAAGGGGGGTAGAGGTTACTTGTAAATATGCTACCTACCTAAAAGGACATCTAACGACCGTGGTTACTTGTAAGTATGCGGTTATGGGAAACAAAGACTTGAAGGGGGTGGAGTTTACTTTTAAGTATGCCACCTGCCAAAGGAAATATAATAATCGATGGTGGAATAAGCGTTCCTTTTTGTATTATGGTGTTACTATTGCATTTCCCACAAGAGTTTGTGGAGGTATGGGACTCTACAAGAACTTGTTGGAAATGGTTATGGTTGCTCATTGTGACTTGGGTTTACTGTTCATTTAAATTATTGCGAATGTTTAAACTTGAGATCTGTTTCAAATGTCACGGTTTTACTTCAAATGTTATATCATATTTTGGAAAATAAGACCGAACTGTTTTACTTGTTTTCTAAACCTTGTATGAGTATGGAAGGAATGTTGCTACAGAGCTTAGTGCTCATCCCCTACAAATAATACTTTTTCAGATTTCGTCTATGAGGAGGAGTTACAAGTAGATGAACCAGTGCATGGGGAAGCTCCCCTAGAGGGGAACGGGGATCCTGAACTGGATGCCTAGAGTTATATTTCTTTTGTACTAGACTAGAGAGTTTATTTTGAAATCATGAAAAGTCTAGTATTTTGTTATTTCACTGCAAGTGTAATTTAATTCTTTTGGGAATATATTTGTCATACTTGGCCTATTCTTTTGGGATGGCATTGTGGATATGACATATGATGAATGAAAGTTTATTTTATGATGGATAAATAGACCCGGTGTGGTCAATAGTTATGCATATGTGGACCCGGTGTGGTCAATTGTAATATAATTGTACAGGTTGTGTTTTGGGTAAAGCTCCCCGTACAAAGGAGACTCTGCCCAAATTTTGTTAAAATATGAATGGTTGATGAATGAACTTTCGTCGTGATGAATTTACGTAATGCTCTCATGGGGTGAATGATTTTTAGAATGTAATGTCACCCAAGGGGGTTTTTGGGGCGTTACACCTACCTCTTGAAGTGTAAAACGACGTTGAAAAGCTTCAAGAACCCAAAACAAGCTTGAATTTCCACCTCCCCAAAATCTCGCCTGAACCCGACCTAAAATAACTTTTGTTCTTGGCCCGAGTGGAT